TCGTACCCTTCTTATCGACTACATAGTACTTAGGTTCGCGTTGAAGAACTTTGAAGGGTCCTTCGTATGCTGATTCGAGGGGTCGTCGATGTGAGTCTCGACGAACGAAGACGTGTGTACTATGTCGTATCAATACTCGGTCGCTAAACGACGCCTATAAATACCCTAAAACACCAGAAGAAACGCACAATCGACTGACTACTGCCACCCATCAACCGGTTAGTATAGAACAAAACAACCTCAGCGCGAACTTAGTGTGAGTTACTTCTTGTCTATTTAGCAGCTTTTTACTCATCTGTACACTATGTTGCCTTGCCAATAATATTATTACACCACTCGTAATCTTACCTTATCTGTAACTAATATAAATCTCTACTTTTCCGCGTACTATGGTGAACAAATATCCTACAGTATACTCTTCCTAATGCCTATACTCTGATTCGTAACCTACACTTCACTATATAGTCAATAAAAACATTGCATCGAAGCCTTACCCACAGTCCATAATTTGTAACTGTCTGATAAGCTTGTAACATGGTACTTATAGAAATAGTGTTTTCCAACAGGATGTGAAACACAGAGCATTGTGTGAGGTATGATCTGTATCGGAAAAATAATCGTAAATGAGCCTAACATCAAAAAAGGAGGGAGGGTGGAGTTACTGACCAGCAAGCACTGATGGTGTGGGCGATGATTTCAATCCACCCGTGTTTGTGGGGCAGAACATTTTGTTTGTATCAGGCTCTTTATGGATGAGAACAAGTCAATAGATCTGTGATATTGAGATTGTTCACCTACACTCACCATTAAGACTCATGTTTCTAATTTTTGTGCTGGATTAACTATTCTACTAAGACAACCTTTAACATGCTAACTCGGACTTTTACATGAACACTGTGTGGCAGGCATCGGATGAGAAAAGAAAAAAAAACTGACTGTAAAGGATATGGTTGCTATTTTACTTAACACTACTCTCTATATGCACTCTCTGTTCTTCCTCATTCCAACCTTGACTTCCCTCCTTCATTGGAACCTACTCCACCTTGATAAATATCACAACTCATTGTTCTTTATTACTGCCTTCTCTCTTTTGGAGCCCCTAATCGCAGTTTACTCTTGCAACATGAGGTAGTATCAATTTAATCTAATAATTTATCATACCTCCATCTGTTCCACTAATAAATGTTGAGCATAGATTATCGCTCATATCCAAATGCCTTGCTGCTCGGTTTCTTTTTCTTTTTTTTTCTCTTCAGAATCTTGCTCTGAGGGTGAAGCTATGTAACCTCTGACATCTGGAGCAAGCTTGACGAACGCGCTTTCCCAAGGTCATAGCTCGAACCAGGCGCTCCACAAGCCTACTTTATAACAACTATAAACTTAAAAAGCTGCATTACATAAATACTTAGAACTACCGAAACCCTATTACACTTTTTGTCGAGATTGGTTCTGGTATATAACGTGGACGCTATGCCCCTTTTGAAACTATTCTTATGAAAACACATTATATCTGAACGAATGAACTGCTATCAACTTTATAGATTATAATTACTAAACAAGCTTGCTTGAGATGCATACTGTGAACCAGTATATGTTGTAAATTCTAGATCATGCCTGTAAAAATGGCGTGTACCTGCTAATGCAGAAATATATTATTATTATTATTATTATAACTCATGCTGAAGATCAATGTCTTCTTTTTGAAGCTGAGCGAGTTTAAGAAGGTCGATTCCTTGGAAACTGTTCAAGGAACTTATTCGAGACAAGGCGTCTGCGACTACATTGTTAGCTCCAGAAATGTGTTGTATATCTGAAGTAAACTGCGAAATGTAGTCGAGTTGTCGAGACTCTCGCGGTAAGTACTTGTCTGAAGATGAACTTAAGGAGAAGGTAAGAGGTTTGTGATCGGTAAAAAGCGTGAATTCTCTTCCTTCGATGGAATGTTGAAAATGCCGTACAGCACAATACATAGCTAGGAGATCCCTACCGAATGTGTTGTACCTAGATTCTGTGTCTAACAACCGTCTCGAGAAAAATCCTAAAGGTTGCCACGAGTTGTTAACCCATTGTTGTAAGACTGCTCCGATTGCTGAGTCGGATGCGTCTACGGCGATACTAATGGGCGCTTGAGTGTCCTGATGAGCAAGCAGGGTTGCTTTAGCGATGTTTTCCTTAACTGTGGAGAATGCTTCACAGGCTATGTCGTCTAAACTAATTGATTTCGCATTTCCACCAAGCTGATCGGTTAACGGTTTCGTAAGGGATGCGCATTTAGGTATGAGCCGTCTATAGAAACTTACGAGTTCGTTAAAAGTTCGTAAGTGCTTGATTGTGGTCGTTTCTGGGTAATCCAGAATGGCCGCCACTTTGCTCCTAAGGGGTCGGATGCCTTGAGCATCAATAGTGTGTCCTAAGAAGTCTAAGCAGTTAATTCCGATTTGGCATTTCTGAATGTTGACAGTAATGCCATGCCTTTGTAGTCGATCGAAAACAATGTCCAGATGCTTGAGATGTGATTCTTTGTCCGGACTTGCTATTAGACAGTCATCAACATACGCATGTACGAAGTTGAGACCTCGAAAGACGTCGTCTATAAACCTTTGGAAGGTTTGAGCCGCGTTTCTTAAACCAAAAGGCATTCGTAGAAATTCGTAAAGAACGAAGGGAGTGATGATGGCGGTTTTAGGAATGTCGTCAGGTGCCATCGGGATTTGGTTATAAGCTTTAATCAAGTCGATTTTCGAAAAGACAGTTGTACCTTTCAAGGTAGCTGTCAAATCGTGAATATGAGGCAGCGGGTAACGATCGGGAATGGTTTTAGCATTCAGACGCCGATAATTACCAGTTGGCCGCCAATCATTGCTGTCCTTTTTAGGGACCATGTGCAATGGGGATGCCCATGGACTATTCGATGGTCGAATTATACCTAGGTCCATCATGTGGTCGAATTCGTTTTTAGCTAACCTAAGCTTCTCGGGAGCGAGTCTTCGGGCTTTCGAAAATACAGGTGGTCCTGTAGTCGAGATGTGATGTGTAAGATTGCTGGTTACACAAGGCAATTTCCATTGTGATTGGTATATCCCGGGGTATTTGTCGAGTACTGAATGGTACAAGGGGTCTTAGTGTTTCCGTCTATTAACCTTCGTGAGCGTGTGTCGATGAGCAGATTGTGGTGTTGTAACAGGTCTATACCAATGATTGGCATAGAGACGTCTGCAACAACGAAAATCCAGTGTATGGGTTTGCGTAAACCCACATTAAGGTAGACGTACCTTTTACCGTAAGTAGCGATCAGATTTCCGTTTGCCGCCTGTAAACTTAAAACAGACTCGCGAAGTCTGTCGTCGAGATTTGCTGGAAGAACGCTAACTTCTGCGCCAGTGTCGACGACGTAGCGAACTTTCGTAGTCACATCCGTGACGTATAAGAGGCGGCTGTGTTCGCCGGCTACGGTTGCCGTTAACGCGTGCCGGCTGGGAAGTTTCCCGAACTGTTTTCCGTGTCACTCGATTTTGGGGTCGGATAATTGCAGGGCTACTTGCAATTTCTAGAGGATTTACCGTACTGGTTGTGATACCAGCACCAGTCGGGGTTGTCTGTCTCTCGTGGTCGAGAAACAGATCTCTTACGTGAAACGCTCCAACGTGAGAATTTTGACCGACTACGGTCATTACGAACTCTAAGATATTTTGTAAGCGTGTGACATAGTTCGGCCATGTCAGTCGAGGTCGATTGAGGTTTTTCTTTAATGGAAAAAACCTCGGCCTTAGAAAATTTAGTGATTTCCAAGATTCGATCGGCAGATGCAGCTAGTTCATCTATGGCATTGTTTTGAAATGAAACAAGCACTGCCTGCACCTGTTGAGGGAGTTTAGACAAGAAAAGTTGTCTAAATAGGCCATCATCGAAAGTTCGTTGGCCGATGACTTCTCTCATTCTAAGCAACATGTCCGTCGCAGAACCATGTTGTAAGTCGATATTGTTAAGGAGTTGGTCTAACCGTTGTCGATCAGTTAGGTCTCCGCGTTTTAAAATCAATAGTTTAAGCGTTTCGTAAGGTTCGGGAACATCACTAGTAAACATACTAGGTGTTACGTACCTGTTAAACTCGCGCGGTGACGCCTTAACTACCGCGAGGAAACGTGTGCGCGAGTCCGTGATTCCGTGCATGCAAAAATCGGCTTCTGCATAGCAGAACTAGGACTCGATATTGTCGGGCCAAAATGGCGTTAACTGAATCGAAATAGGGGGAATAGACTTTAACTTAAAAACCTTGGGTGAGTGTTCCGTCATAGTAATATAGATAACGAAAAATGTCTAATTAAAATATATCCGAGAAAAGAAATTCGCGAAAAAAGTATATCACAATATATAAAATTCAAATAAAAAATAACAATGAATAATAATATTCCAAAATGGAACAGACTCACAGTATATTGACTTGGTGTACCAGATCACGTCGGTCTCACCAATGATGATACAACGGATATTCTAGTTTTACAACTGGATACCAGTAGCACCTTCTATATTCGATCGTTCCCAGTCAGATAGAAATCAGAAGTCAGACGAGAAGGGGCAGGAAATATATATTTGATTCGTTACCAATATATCGAGGACCTTTTCTATAAGCTGGCTAATGAAACGTAGGAGCTGTGTCCCACGCTGTGTTGAAACGTGATCTGGTGCGGATGCATGACCGAAAGCCTTCAGCTAAACAAGTCCACTTAAACAACGTGGTCAGCATCCAATGTCAAACACTTAATGAGCTATTGATTTTGGGGAATTATTTACAGCTACAATAGGCTGTATGGCTTCGGTCCTTACTACACAAATCTGAATTATTCACCTGTTGCCCATCATTTTTCTATCTTAATAAAGGCGAATCCACTTTGACTTGTACCATTCTCTAACATCAAGATACAAGAGCGAGGGATTCAGCCACATCATGTTTGCTAGTCGTAAAGACATTGAATATTGAAGAATCCTACAGTGATAATACCACACACGTAATTCCGCTGACTTCGAAAGTCGACCATTTAGTTGATTTTTAGTCTTACATATATACCGCACTATGTTTGGCTTATATTTCATTTTATATGGCTGAACAACTAAATGTACTAACAGACTCTTCAGTAGTTCCCTGTAAAAAGCGTAAGCAGGTATGGTTTACATCCATTGATTTAAATGTTGTCTTAAGACTGGAAAACCACAAAATCATGTTAAAAAAACAGAGCAGCTACTAAAAAAGTTAGAAAACCCAAAAAATGCTTATCGCGTAAGTTTGTGTTATTGTTTTGCTGATTTTTAACTCCATATGCTGGCAATTATTTTGCAAACATCTTTGTAACCACTGCAAATAATTTCGGTATCGCTCTTCAGGTAGCTATAATCCACTCCAAACATTCTTAATAAACATCGCGTTGTTCTTGATTCTTCACACTAATCGTCCGTTTCAGTGTGGTCAACTTCGTATTCATTTGCGAAGAAGTAATTCTCAACCAATCATAAAGACCTAGATCTGTCAGCTGATAGATCTGTGCTACAACAAGCCAATGGTGGACATCCAGACAGCCCTAAAGTCATAGAGCATATAATCAATATAGAGTTTGAAGCTATGGTCATCACTACGAACTTATATCAGATAAAATACAAGAATCTTAAGGTACATATTCTTTTTTTTCATGATCAATCACACACTTATCTTCTGCTTGCCTAAATGATATAAAATCTCAAAACCCTTTGATATCACAGGCCTACTAACAGGCTCGTCCCATAAATTGTTATCGGCTTAGTGTTTCCTACAGGTACCCTTCTTATTTCGTGGCTCATAATAGTTTCGATTGTTATTATTATTTTTGGAAGATTTTGTAGTAGCTATTTCGCTTTCTTCATTCTACCACGTTTCTCTAAGGAACCCCTGAATATTTTAGCAAGTAAAACCATCCCGAAAATCCAAATCCCTATAGCTTGTATGCGTTTCCTACACTTGTGAAGTGGCAACCAATTAACTTACTGTCTTCAGTCATCAGGTTATTTGAAGGGAGTAGATCAATGTTTGTTTAACCTGAGGTAGTAAAATAGGAAGTTACTTACCCTGACTAATGTTGGTGTTTGTATTTCGAACCACATGGTACGTTCTTATAGGTCATGTTTACATTTTTACTCATTTATATGCACATACGTACCAGGTTATGCAATGTATGCAGCTTACTGGCTGTGTCCAGAATATGATAGTTTGGTATATCTCCAAAATTAGCCGTGCTAGATGATAACTCCATTAAATGATGAATGACTTTTAGTTCTAATACCGTCTAATTACTTATTGATTAAATATTCTTGATTTCATTCTAACAAGCATGTTATTTGTTGAAACGATGTCTTCTACTAAGCACCTATTCTTATATCCTGATACTTGTTCGATCGAGAGCTTAAGTGAGTAATTTGTTGTTAATTCTATTTAACTTGTATTTGTGTAATCTTTTGACTTTCCTAGTTGATCACTTGTGAATTCGATGAAAGTATCTTACAAATGTCTGGTTTATTAGCATCTCTGACATCGAAATTAGAAGCTAATTGGCAGTCATCAACCATACAATATTTAACTAACTCAAATGATCCTTTGGAGAAAAGTGTTTCACAACAATTGCCACCTTTAATTCAACCGAAAACTGTTGGATTAAATGGTCTCAATGGTTCTGTTCCTATCTCGTTTTCCTTCACTTGGACACGTTATCAACCAACAATAGACGTATCAGCCAAAGAAAATGCATCAAAACCAACCGGTCTGATCATACTTATCGTGATGTTTCGAATGTTGTACACTTTAAGCAAGTATTATGATAGTTTATTCAGGAAATAAACAGGATTGTACCCCCCCCCCTCCGCACACATCTCGAATGCTTTTCAATTGTAATGTGGCACTTTTTCAGCTTTCACGCTGAGTATAACTTGGGTTTGTGATTAATTTAGTAATTGTTTCTCAAGTAAATACACATTTCCAAAACTAGTAATGGAGAAGTGGCTCGATTATTAACTATTAGGTCATGGGTCTGAACCCAGATCAAGTAAACGAGGCATAAACAACCATATAGTAATATTAGAATGAATGAGATGTCTCTGTTATTGCAGTCACATTTTTCTGGTGTATTTATGAGGTCAACAGTAAGTGTTTGTAAGTATACTCTTGACTACATGTATTAGTTAAATTATTTAGACTATTCTGATCTATCCTGATGCATTCCTACAAAATGACTGTGAAGACGGTTGTTCAGGTCTACTTCATGTTCTGTGTGATCACTATCTCATTTTCCAACTTACACTTGATGATAACTTGAGTCAACGGTAACAAATTACTTTTTGATCAGAGATAGATATCCAGTTCTCCTATCTGTAACAAGGTTATATTCCATAGTATGATTTTCTGTTTCAGGATATAAAAATATTAATACTCAACGATCCAATAGAAAGTAAATTGTATTAATTAGTTACATTTGTTACCCCTGATGGAACATACGCCACCGAACAGGATTCTCAAACCAACTCTGTCCTCGATTCTCCTTTCCAGTTGTTTCCAACTGCTGTTCATTGTCCTGATGTCTGTCTCCAATCCCGTGCGCTTGTGTTCTCTGGTTTTTGTGTTTTCCTTCTGCCTCCAGGATTTCTTTCTATGAGAGCTAGTGATTTTTAAACTCAAATTAACTCGTTTTCCAGGTACTCGGATATTAGCTACACTCTAAATGTGAGGACTAATGATACTACTACTCAGTTTCACAAACTAAAGTACGTGACTTCAGCTTCAGACTTGAGTTTGGTGGCTGGAAGTCGAACATCTTAGTCATTAGGCCACCACTAGTGAGAAATTGTGTAGGGTTACCTAGACCGCATTATATCGTGAGGTGCGGAGTTGATGCCTAAAACCCGATGGGGTTCAAAATCAAACCTCAATAACTAGTTTTATATTCTTTTGTTTACAGTAAAATCAACCTCTACTACTCTTTATCTTCTGTCTGTCTTATTTTATTCTCATCATTCTTTCTGTATTGTAGATGATGAAATGTTGAACATTAAACTTAATCCATTTATCGAACCTGAAGTTGTCATTCTGTTAACTGCTGATCAAATTAAAAATTTACTCATCAAATCGTCTAATGATGCTAAACAAAAGTTACACGAGGTATGTTTTGTCTAAAATGTTAGTCTAGATTCTTTTCATATTTTTTTAATTACGGTAACTAGGTAGATGTAGCAGCGTGAAAGTGGCACATTACTATTGGACTAAATCGGATTTTCTTTATAAAACATACCAAATTTCAGTGTTCAAGTATAGAAACGACAAGTATATCAACACAAGTAAGAAAAAAAGGAGGGAATTAATTAACTTTGATATACTACATGAATATCCTGCATCATTTCTCTAATCAGTTTAACATCGTGTCAAATGTTCAACTTTGACCGAAATGTACACCATTGTCAATCTTTCCTACTTCTTGAGGATTGTTTTCATCTTCAGTAAGAAGTTCGGTTTGTTGTTACTAATCGGCTATCTGTTTTTACTTTGAAAATAAATTACTGGATCTAGTGGCTTGTAACACTTCGGCATGTATCGATTTTAAATAACCAACTTATACATGTTTTATTGAAATTACGGATCGATCAAAATTAGACAACCAGCGAAAACTGAAAGCACTAGACTGACGTTTCGTTTTAATATGTGACTCCTTAGCAGTGCACATTCACGATCCTGCACCCGGTAATCGAACTCAGGATCTTCAGTCTCGCACACGTAAATTTTTTCTCTAGGCCACTTAGTCGGTGTCCAATAGTGTGCAAGTCTAACTCTAATCAATCGAAGATAATCTGCGAATACTTTCCATTGCCTTCGGTGGGTAGTTTCTTCAGACCCGACACGGTTAAACTCTATTGGTCACAATTTTCTACTACAACTCCAGTATTTTCACCGGTTATCCAACTTAGGTCGGTTCAAGATTTCAATAAAACTAAACAATCTCCACAACAACAACCCCTCTGATGTTGACAATGATACATATGTATTCACCCAAACAGTTGTATAGCATTTTTCACCATGTCTAGGTATATGTATTATAACTTGACACTTAACGTTGAGTCTCAGCGATGTACATCTAGCTTGTGGTGAGTTGAAAGTGTTTTTGCTGTTGTTATGATATCCTGCTTTTCATGTACCAAATTTTAATCAACTAAATAATCACTGTTATAAACAGCTACGACCCTGTATGCTAATAATAATCACGTAGTAACTAGTGATCAAGTTCTAATGATAATTCCCGGAGTTCTGTTGAAAAGTCGTGGCCCGGGGATTTCAACTATGTCGGATGTGAAGCATTTACTTACCTATGGCATTGGAAGATGGTTGTGCAATATCATAAATTGACTACATTTTGGCATGTAAACCACAAGATATTAACAGTGGTCTGAGGGTTAATTGCCTGCTGCGAGGCATTAACGTCTTGGGTTTAATTCCTTATGAGGTAAATACTACTAAGGAGCCCTATACTAGGACGAAAAAAGATGTTCAGTGTTTGTCAATGGTTGTTTATCTAAGGTCAGTCCGTGATATAAACTATAAGAGTCAATGATCTGCACAATTCTCCTGTATCATTAGTTAGGAATTATTTTCTAATAAAAAAATTTACTCCTAACAATTTAGGCTTCTTCATTCATGTTTCTTGGAAATCCACATACATGTAGATTGTCATCAATTCAATATTATTGACATTTATGGCTTTTTTTCAGTTACCATTAGTGTCATTCCTTTTCCCCTGTTTCCGTAGAATACAAATTTCATTGCGTTTGGCACTAGTTTAATGAATTTGAAACGACCAGTTACTTGTATTTTCTTGACAGGGCCTACATTTAAGTCGAGGTAAGTTACATTTTTATTTTGCAATCCTATATTTTATTTATTTATTTGAGCGCATTGGTACAAGAGGGCACCAAATACATGTGCACTACACAATAATAATGAGGTAATTAGCAGTTATAATTGATTTGTGTGAGGACTGTGATACTGACCGGGTGTCCAAACCGAGGCAGGTAGTTTTCTAAGGGGATCAAACCACGAGCCCTTGACTTAAAGGTCCAATCCACAAGGCAGTAGAACAACGTCAGAGAATCCGATCCCCTGGTAGGCGATTACCAAAAATTGGTTCATACTACACTTGTCCGCTCAGAATCATAAAGCCGATATGCACCACTGATTCAGAATCAGGGTTTGCTATTTCTCCTAGATGGGTCCCCAATACTCACCAACCCTGTTGAAACGCGTGACATTCGCTTTCGACCCTGTCGTTTCCATAAACGACTCTTCTGTCGTGAGAATAGAGTGAATAAGGCTTGCTTGACAGTGGCTATATACATGTAGCCATATGAGGAGGGATTTTGAGAGAATGATTGTTTTATCCCTACCCTCGTCCATATTAGGGTATTTCATTAAAGTAAGCTTTAGTGATATCATTTATAAAAGTAACAAGAGTTCTCTAATCAAACCATCTAGTTTGGAGAACTCACATGCATAATTGTCCAATTAATCACCATCATTTCAAGGAAATTGTACGACAATAAACTGGTTACTCATAAGTAATGTAGTTGTAGTACACAAATCTTATTCATCGTTAAATCCTAAGAAGATGTGAAAGTAAGAGTGAAAGAGAGCTTAACATCTGAAAGCAGTTGTTCAACTACTGATCACTCTTCACAGTCACGCCATCGTATGCTGCAAAAATAATACCCATATATTTTTTGTTTGCCCTTTAATGTTTTCTCACTCAGAACCAACCATTTGTCATCATCATCAAAGAATACTTCTTCATCGTATATGTCAATTAATGAATTATGCGCTGAACTACAAATAAATTGGCATGTACACAGTACTCGTGTCACATCGAATTTACATGATGTTGCTATGATTTTAAATGCAATTACACGATCTTTGGCAGAAAGGCAATTTAAGTAAGATTTTTCTTTTTATAATGAATTCCTCTTTTTGTCTTCTTTACATACTTTATTTATTTAAACACATAAACATTAGTACAAGGAGGCACCAAATAGATATGCACCACATAAATCATTCGATTTATGTGAGGACTGGGATACTATACTGCTAGGGTCTCCAAACCGAAGCAGATGGTTTTCTCAGGGGGCCACACACTGAGCCTTTGACCTGAAGGTCTAATCTACAAGACAGTGGAACAACGTAAGGAGATGCAGTTCCATGGTAGCCGGTGACCAGCGATTGGTTCGTACACCATTTGTTGCCTCAGGATCACAGAGCCCACATACACGATTGATTTGGAATGAGGGTTTCCCAACTCCCCTAGGTGAATCTTCCATATGCACCAACCTGGTTAAAGTACCAGACATTCGTCTTTCATCCCCTCAGTTTCTTAAACAACAGTAATGGTGAGAGATGGCAGTAGTTGTATGCTCATGGCCATGTGAGGTGCCCCCTTGTACCAGTGTTTATGTGTTTAAATAATATAAATAAGGGACATGGTTTTAGCTAAATACATGAAAGTATACACCTGGTAGGAAAGCCAATAAAAATAGATGAATAAATGGCATAATCTTCTACCATATTTGTTTTCTCTTATATAGGCAAGGACGTTTAGAACGAGATGAAGGACTTTCATTTCTACCAAATACTATACATAAAGGTTTGAGCGGTTGTGCCTCACGTGGTCGTGGTCCTGGTAAAGCACCAATAACTATAAACAATGACTCTGAATCACTAACTGCTAATCAAGAACAAAATTTACATTTATGGTCTAGTCGAGTATGGCTTAGTCAACTTGGTCAGTGGCGTGGATTAACTGGTGAAATTGCTCATGCTATCACTTTGGTATATCCAACTGCAAGATCATTCTATAATGCATGCAAATTAGCAGAAATTCAATCAAGAAATCAAGGTAAATTTTATGTGTCTCTGTTTTTCAAACGAATCGGAATACTTATAAGCAGAGTTATGTAGTGGAGTCTAGGACATAGGTTTCGTCCTAGTTGGGACTCGTCAGTTGCACGTACCTTCATCCGTGTTGATAGACACAACGGAGTTTGAGCCCATTATCTTTTACTTCAAATGCTCAACATGCCATCTACTTATTCATTATATTCAAACAGACACTGGCTTGCTCAATGGAATGAATAAATTGGAATTTTTTATAATAACCAAATGGTACTCTGCTATTATTGCTCGCACGATCGAATCACTTGATTGTAGGACGCATTAATAAAGCAGTTCATTTTATGATGATCAGACCAATAACTGGAAAAGCTTACATTCTATTTGTTCAACAGTCTCCTTCGAACTCCACTAACCAATTAAAAAACGAGTACAACAAACGAATAAACGTAATAATATCTCGTAGAGTTACATATATTACTTATATGACTACATTATCCCATTCTAATGTTAAATCACATTTGCATTCAACATATCCAGCCATTAAGCAATGTATCCTCATTGTTATTACATTGTTCATACAAAACCAATCTAGAATTTCACGTTATTTATTCATTTATTTAAACACCTAAATACTGGTACAAGGAGGCACCAAATAGATCATTCGATTTGTGTGAGGACTGGGATACTGCCCAGATGCTCAAATCGAAACAGGTAGTTTTCTTAGGGGGCCACACCCCGAGGCTTTGACCTAATGGTCTGATCCACAAGGCAGTGGAACATCGTGAGGAAATTCAGTCCCATGGTAGCCGGTGACCAACAATTGGTTCGTACACCATTTGTTCTCGTAGGATACTGGAGCCAGCCCATGTGCACCATTAGTTTGGAATCAGGGTTTTCCAACTCCCCTAGGTCAATCTTCCATATCCACCAACCCGGTTAAATCGCCGGACATTCACTTTTCGTCCTCTCAATTTCGTAAACAACAGTAATGCCACGAGAAGGCAGTGAGTAGGACTTCCCTGACAGAGGCTATATACGCGTGACCATGTGAGAGCATTTCGAGGGTGGTGAGTGGACTCTCCCCACTCTCGACCGTATCAGGGCATTTGGGGGCTAACGATAAGTTGATACGTTATTTGTTTCTTTAGAATCCTGAAGCCCATGTGCACCATTGGTCATCATTGTTTGTAAAATAAAAGTGGTATTTTCTCTCTCATTTAAAATTATAACCACATTATTATGGATCTTTCATTAACTTCTTATTTTATTCAGATTCAAATTGTCAAACAACACTTTCATCTTCAAATCAAAAATCTATCCATCCATTTGAAATAGAATTAGCTAATTTAGAAATACGTCGTGGTGCAGGTATCTTGTCAACAAAAAGACGTTTAGGTCCTGAATTTGCTAGACGTCTTATTAAACTGTTCACGTCGAAGAATCCAGATGAAATTATCAGTTAAGCCTAATGAACGTAATCCGCTTATTTGTACTATCGTTCAATTCAGTATTATTACTGCCTCATTAGGTATTTTCTTCAGTGGTTTATGATACTTCGTGTTAGATTGTAAATAAATGACAATTGTACTTCAAATTTGTTAATTTCAGCTTTTGTGAATGTGTACAGAATTTTCTTATTTTCGTTACATAAAGTTTTACCATGAATAGTGAACTCTTTTGGTTTGTGTGAGGGGTGGAATACTGCCCGGATGTTCAAGCCGAAACAGGTAGTTTTCTTAGGAAGCCACATCCCGAGTCTTTAACCTGAAGTTCTAATCTACAAGACAGTGGAGCAACGTCAGGAGATGCAGTCCCATGTTAACCGGTGACCATTAATAGGTTGATATGCCATTTGTTCCCTCAGAATACTGGAGCCCATGTATTATCATTGGTTCGGAATGAGGGTTTCCCAACTCCCCTAGGTAAATCTTCCATATCCACCCACCCGTCTAAAGTGCCGAACATTCGTTTTCTATCCTTTCGATTTCGTAAACAACACCCTCATCGTGAGAGGGAGGTGAGTAGAACTTCCCTTGGAGTGGCTATTTGAGCGTGGCCACGTGAGAGCATTCGGAGAGAGAGATAGCTCTCCCCATCCTCAGCAGTACCGGGGTATTTGTATTCAGTGATATTTTTATGCTGAGTATGTTGTTCTAGTAGTCAATATTTTATATATTAAGCGAAGAAACTACAATTTTTTTAGTTTTCATCTCCACATTGTGAGCATTAAAAGCTTCAATTGATGTGGCATATTTTTTGGGGGGGGATTGACTCGATATCTACAGTTATTTGGGTAAAATTGTGTAATAGTCACTATCCGACACCTAGAAATTGAAATCATTTTCGTTGCACAAATCAGTGGCTATCAGAGCACAGTTTGTGGATGGTTAAATGTTTAAAACGAAGGCTAATGGGTTTCGAATTCCAGTGCGGGCATCGATTGTAACAAATTCCAAGTAGGACAAAACGGACTTATCGGGTCGCTGTTGCTAACTTCATTCTATCTAATTTGAACATTCGATTTTATTCTTTGATCTTTAAAATTGAATTTATTATATACAGAGAAACGATAGTATCCAGTTGTTAAAAAATCTCGGTCGATTAAAGTTAAGTGCTTAAACCAGTAAGTAACATCTTCATATAACTAATTTGATGTCACTGAAACTATTCGTTGGATATACATCATTCTAGTATTAGAGTTTAATACTTCCATGATATAGATTACACTTATCGAGGAGTCATACGTTTACAAACGGTTTTTCGTATATTACCTTCATTTGAATTACCTAATATCTCTGGTTTAAAGTTGCTTTTCAATGATGTCACTTACTTGATTCTGTACACGTAGAGGAGGTGTTGCATCATTAAGAAATTTTGAACCGATCTACGTTAGATCATCATTAAAGCCTGTAAGGGCGCTTCATCATAGTATAGGACTCCTCAATGCTAATGCCTATCTACGATTCCTGCACGCAAGAATCAGACCTAAGACCTTGTATCTTGCGCGCAAATACTTAGCCTATAGACCACTGAATCTTCATCCAACGGTGGTCTAACTTAAGTCGTTTCGAAATTTCAATGAAACCCAACTATTTCCATAACCCTAATTTCATGTATATAAATTAATTAAATGGAGATTTTAAAAAATCGTAAAATTAGTAGAGATGATTAAAACCATAATGGAATATGACATAGAGCATACCTTCTTTGAACAGGAAGGTAAAGTTTAAATTCTTGACTTGTCAAAGTTTCAACTATTAAAAACTTAATATCAGAAGGGGTTTTTTTGGATATTATAGTAATTTCGATAGTTGAGATCATGAGTTAATTGAGGCTAGATCACTATGGAAAACCAGGAAGCACTGGACGGACGTTTCGTTCTATTGTGGAACTCCTCAGCAGTGCACACCTACGATCCCTTCTGATATTAATGAACATATGCTCACTAGCGACTGGCTTCAAAAGGTATTTCCTGGAGTTCTAGTATGAAGCAGTGGAGTTCAACCAGGTCTGTTGTGAGATAGTAACTCACTGAAGACAATAGTGGATGTGTCGCTCAATTTCGTGGATTAGTTGGAGTTAGACATTAACACTGTTGGATACCCGCCGGCTCAATGGTCTAAAGGTTAGGCGCTCTGGCGCAAGACTGATAGGTCCTGTATTCAAATCTCGCGAGGCTGGATCGTGGATGCGCACTGTTAAAGAGTCCCACGCTGGGACTAAACGGCCTTCCAGGTTTTCCATGGTGGTTTAGTTTCAATTGACTCATTATCTCAACTATTGATATTGAAAATTTCTTCAAGTAATTCCTTCCAAAATTTTGAATAAACTTCAAATACAATTATCATATTAGCATGTGATTAAATGCCCAGATATTATACTGTTATCTGGTTTGCATTCACTTTCAGATAGTTATGCAAGGTAATGATTATATATTCGTTTAAAAAATGGTCTGTGAGGATGCTTGAAGGGGAAGTTTATCCTTGATGCACCACTTCTTAGTAAGATAGTCATCGCTAGAGAAGACAATTCCATACGCCTCTGAATAAATTGTCTATGTATTTTATTCGTCAGAGATCGACCACGGTTAAGTGTACCATTAAAAACTAGATAACTTTTTTGTTTTAGTACTAAGCTACTCAGATCAATCTACACGTATATGAACAGTCTATTGCATTGTACACAATAAATAGAAGGATTAGCCAGAGTGATTATTATTAATTCTGTTGAGCTATTTGTTTAAAATAGTCTGGTCGTAAGATTCCTAAGTGTCATTCTAGTCAGAACTTGTCCCACTTTCAGATTGAATGTTGGACATTTATGAAAGATAGTTTTATTATAAACAAAGATGGATAGTGGCTAGCAGTGGAATCCAGAATGAGCGTTTCGCTCTATTTGGGACTCGTCAGCTGGATGTACCTGCATCTTAGATTTGATGTTCACTCTGTAACTCGAATCCAGCACCGTTTGCTTCAAACGCCATTGCGTTATCCACTTAGGTAGTGAGTTCTAATAGCCACTTGCTTGTGCAGTGGGGTAAAGAGACTGATCAATTGCAGTCCTAAACGTCAATGGGAAGATTCAACCAAACAATACTAAATGAATAGTTTTATTAGTTCATTTTTCTTTAAAGCAAAAGTTGAATAACTGAGAAAGTCTAACGAACTTGACATGACCACCAACAACCCACAATCACTTTTTTCCCTCAGTTCTGTCATTATTCAACTAGTTGAAAGATCAGTAAATAATTAATGTTTAAAATGTCTCCGAGTTTTCACTATTATCGTTTTCTGGGTATTACGAATACACCTTGTTAAGCGAATATCAATAAAGGAACCTAGTTCACTCAAGTTTATTTATTATTATTTATTTAAACACATCAACATTGGTACAAGGAGGCACCAAATATATATGCACCACAAAAATTTGATTTGTGTGAGGGCTGTGATACAACCCAGGTGCCCAGACTGAAGCAGATGATTTTCTTAGGGAGCCACACCCGGAGCCTTTGACCTAAAGGTCTGATCCACAAGGCAGTGGAACATCGTGAGGAAATTCAGTCCCATGGTAGCCGGTGATCAACGATTGATTCATACGCCATTTTTTCTTCTTAGGATACTGGAGCCAGCCCATGTGCACCATTGGTTTGGAATGAGGCTTTTGTAACCCCCTATGTGGACTTTCCGTGTCCACCAACGCAGTTAAAGCGCCTGACATTCGTTTTTCGTCCTCTCAATTTTGTAAACAACAGTAATGCCACGAGAAGGCAGTGAGTATGACTTCCCTGACAGAAGCTATATACGCGTGACCATGTGAGAGCATTTCGAGGGTGGTGAGCGAACTCTCCCCAATATCGACCGTACCAAGGCATTCGGGGGCAGTTCACTCAAATCCTTACATTAAATACCATAAGTTATCACAAACATTTGGTGTCTTTAGTCTTTATAGTGTTCAAAAAGAAGTAAAGTACATAACATACTTAACATAAAACGAATATGTGTCGGTTAGACATCCAAAGTGCAATTAGTTTCCCTTAAATTTCTTCATAACTTTAAACTACTCATAAGTAGACAAATAGTGATAAGAAAAAATACCTGACCAACCTTGAGATTATGCTTTACCGTTATAGGGTACATACCAACATGATAATTATCTATTATTGAAGTGGTTATATGAAGACTGTTCATAATTTAAAGGTAGTTTTCATTATGAACTAAAGCCAGTTTGAGCATTGAACAATTGTTTTATTGTCATTTTCAACGTATCAGGATAACTTCACATCACAATGAATCATTCCCAACAACTACGTAGCTAGCTAATTCAAAGTCCACATATCGTAATTCAGTTCGTATATCCTAATAGAATATAAACCCTTTGTAATACTTATGACTTGAAGCTGATCTATTAGATATTGATTACTCGTTGTGCTAAGTAATAGAGATAACCGGTGGCGGATAGACCAACAAACTCTCGTTATTAAATATTTTCATCAGAATTGCTAAATACTCATTATAAACAAAAATGGGTGGTGTCTAGCATTTGAATTCAAACATGCGCTTCATCCTAATCGGGACTCATAAGCTGGATGTACCTGCATCCTTTAGTTCATGTTCACACCAAGAATCCAACCCAATAACGTTCACTTCAAACGCCACCACGTTTAGGACTGCAAGTGGCTATCTAAATGAAAAACGTGATGGCGTTTGAAGCGAACGGTTCTGAGTTTGAGTCATCGAATGAACATCAACTCTGAAATGCAGGTACATCCAGATGACGAGTCTCAAATAAGACGAGGTGACGTGTGTCCTGGATTCCACTTCTAGCCACCATCTATCTTTGTTTAGAACGCTTTGGAATTAAGGCAACATGGAGGTAATCCACACAGGAAACTCATGTCAAAAAGAGACTGATCAATTGCAATCCTAAACATCAATGGGAAGATTCGAACAGCAGAACGAATTCAAAGTTATTTGTGTGGAACTACTAGTTTGATTGAATGATGAAATAGAGTCAGTCAGATATGATCATCTCACTCAATAATAAACGAGTAAAATATCAACAATTTAGCATAAACTCAAAGTTATGAGAATTATCCACTAACCAAAAAGTTTAAAGATTCTTAATTTAATCTCTGAGAGGTTATAAAAATACACATTTCCATAC